GCCAATCGACAGCTGGTCAAGAGGAATTCGCCGTCGTCTTCTGGTGGAACCGACCTTCGAATCTCTCCACAAACACTTTTACTCGAAATGGAAGTAAGCCCAACATCAAATCATAGACGAAAGCTCGGCCCGTTTTTACCCGAAACGGAGGTCTCGTTGACTGCGTCAACCTGAACGTCGTAAAAGGCCAAACGGCTGCAGTAAAACGAGATTCATCCGTCCTCTTCTGGTTAGATCGACCTACGAACCTCTTCTTTATGCTCCTTCATACGGAATGAAAATCCTCCCAACAGAATGGTTGAGAATTTATCAAGAATTTCCGGAAGTTGGTATACCCAATGTCATAAATAACTTGTTAGGTCATCACATACATCCCTTCAACTCAACTTTCCATAAAAATGAAGGGTCTACTGAAGGCAAACTATTAAGAAAGCTTCCGAGAACTCGTTTTTCATCATTTTGCCGCACAAAATCTGTGTCCATCATTAATTTAAAAAAATAATAATTACGTCAGCCTTGGACACTAGGATAATTTAAGGACGGATAACATAGTTTTCCCCGGATCGGCATGAGTGGGCCCCATGATACTATTGGAGTTCAATCATTCAGACTGGACTATATGTTTGGCTTTGCCTTAACGTCTCATCCCCACACTCAAAGGCATTCCGACCGTACCTTAAGCATTGTGGAGACACTTAACCATTTTGCTAAAAGGCAACGAATGCCAATGGGTCACAGGTCAAGTCAGACATAGCCAAAATCGCGTTTGTAACGTTTTCTTATCAGACAAATTGAATTTATTGTAACAATCAAGGACAGCACTTATGTTTAGAAACTATCCTTATATCTCGAGTAGGAAATTAGCCATTATAGGTCATTTAATGTTTTATATGGACTGATAGGGTAGTTTTTCCCACAATTATATGGAAATGCCTGGCTTTTCCTGAAGATCACATCCTACCTGGCATTGCTAACGGTTGTTGTATAGAGGAGTAGCAGTGTGTGGATAAAAGGCTCACTATCCAGTTTCAAACACCTTTGGGGTTCTGATGTGGCCTCGGCTAGATCCAAACTGCAATTTAGTTTAAATAAGAATACCTTTTGGGAAACAAGGCTGAATAAGAAGTGGGTTGACCTGGTTGCCGCAACTTGGTCTTGTTGTCAGGGTGACTTAGTAGAACGCACCTAGTCCGAAGGCGTCTGCCATAGTAGTTGTCATGATTCCCAGCATCAGACAGTGGATTTGGTACCTTCTCAAACGTTTCGCCGACATCATCAGTGATTCTTGCCATTCTCCGCACGAAGCTACGAACACGTCAAAGAGACAAGTGAAGTCAATCTCTCGACAAACGTTCTGCCGAAAACGGTTACACTATCACTCCACTTTCTGTCCTGACCTATCTATCTACTCTTTACCCTCTTGTCCCCCTGCCGCCCTATCACAACTTCTCGGCAGAACGTTTGTCGAGGAATTGACTTCACTCATCTCTTTGACGAGTTCGTAGCTTGATGCGGCGAATGGCAAAACTCACTGATGATGCCGACTACGATGCCGGTTGACGAGTTCGTAGCTTGGTGCGGCGAATGGCAAAACTCACTGATGATGCCGACTACGATGCCGGCGAACACATCTGTGTACCAAGTCCACTGTCTGATGCTGGGAATCATGACAACTACTATGGCAGACGACTTCGGACTAGGTGCGTCCTACCAAGTCGCCCTGACAACAAGACTAAGTTGCGACAACGAGGTCGACCCACTTCTATAAATAGAAAGGAGACCGCGACCATACCAGAGGCTACAACATCTTGGTCTTCATATCTTCAAGGTTGAATAAGATTCATTGGTAGCGTGAGTCCTACTCATATGACTATAGGAAAGCTATACAATCGATCTTCAAATAACCTAAAGCTACCTAGGTCAGCTTACCTAAATATGAGGTTCAGGAGG